ACGAGCGTACTGGCTTGAAAATCCTTACCTTCGCTGAGTTTTCCCCTCGGCATATGCAAAATTAAGTACAAATGCTAGTAAAGAAGTAAGATATTTTTCCTGTTTAAACAAATACCAATCACCGATATTAATTTCATTGCATTCTCTTACAAAATATTCATTGATTTCAAATGACTTCGGCATGATTTTAAGACTTCATCGGAAGTTCATAAATGCTTTCAGGGAGTTGAAATCATGTGATTTCAATTATATCGTGTATGTCAATGATTTTGCATGATTTCAACGTGCTTTCGGATCGATTTCACTATACAGTGGCACCATGATTTCGGGAATGAGTAACCCTTCGAGTTCACCGTAAGATCTCCATGTGGATCCTATCCCACCTTTATTATCCTCCCATGAGTACTCCGAACAATCCCCTAAGTTTCCTTATAAAGACCGCCTTATGGCCTGCATAACAGCCTCATACTTACGTCAGATCATTGCAAAAATTTTAGGAGGCTTCCGTACGGTCTCTGTAGAACGTCTCAATTCGACCCTCTTTCAACCTACATAATAATCCCTCAAGAACTTCCGATGAAAGTTCCTTCTCTAAACTTGCCAACTCTTCTATAAGGCCTTCATATGACTCCTATGTAACCCCTTAATAACCTTCACTAGGGGGCTTCGCCGCCAACTCGTCCCGTTCGCAAACCTCCTGCGGTTGGTAGGATGCAATCGATTAGGAGCAACGCTTTAATTTTTTTTACTAAAAATCTTCAGCAAATGCCTCATCTCACTCAGATCAAATAAAAAATTTACAACTTTACATGAATCATTTTTCACGCATTTCATTTTGTTTCATTTTGTAAAAATACCGTGTAGGAAAATTAAAGGAACGTTACTTCATACTTTTAATTTTTCCGACCTCTCCTTCTGACTCTTATTCCCGACTCCTCTTTCTCTTTTTTCTGGGTCATATTGACCCTTATGTCAGACCCTCATTTCCTCTACCTTCATTCTGATCCTTCTCCTGATGACCTCATATGACATATAACAGTGACCGAGTAATTGCTAAATTTGAACAAAAAGTAAGAAATCAAGGGGCTCCATAAGCTGCTGCGTTCGAATATCAATAAATATTAGAACTAAATAATAATAATACCACTCGGATCCTTTGTGGTGAGAAGAGAGGAGTGGATGCATTCGAGTGTTGTTATTATTCTTTATTTTCAATATTCATTGACATCTGAATGCATCGGCTTATAGGGCCCTTTAATTGTTTACCTTTTTTTTTTTCAAATTTAGCGATCCCTCGGCCACTGGTATTTAGACAGATCCGCGATCTGTTTTCTTTTATGCGATCTCATTCCTTTTATAAAAGTTCATCGAATAATTTAATCGAGCACATTCTTTAAAATTTTAAATGAAGCAAGTAATATAGTAATTTATTACTATATATAATACTCATTATATATAGAAATAAATAATGAGTTTACAGCATTCTCAAAAACGGAAGTGAGTTAATTTGTATTTATCAATAGGGAAAATGAACATCTTTTTTCTCCTAGATGATTCGTAGAAATCGAGAATTGTTCATCCTTCTAATTATCTCCCTCGTTTGACTGTTATCATAATTTGACCCTTATAAGCGTTTGACCCTTAGCATCTGTTTGCGCGTCTTCCTGTATGATCCGATCGAACCCTATGATCATTCGACTTTTTATAAAAGCCTCCAACCTTTAATAGTACATTTTATCATTATTTCACAAATGGTATTGTCTCGTTTCGCCCGTCTCGACTCGTTTTATCTGTTCTCATCATACATGGAAAGAATATACAATTATACAGGGTGTTCCATTTCAAAAAATGCGGGCAAATATCTCCTAAGGCGGGCAAGTAACAACAAAATATTGAATACAAAAATTGTAGGGTTTCTAGGGGGTCATTCGATGCATTTATTATTTTGAGCTTTCACGCTCATGCTTGCAAGCTGCAAGCATAAAGTGCTTTTTTAAAAATGGGAACTGCATTTTTCACCCCAATGAAACTTGTTCATCTTGATGAGTTGTTTTTAGATATCTCGTCATTCATGTAATTTCCTCTAATTTTACTCAAAAAATGCCACAAAAACGAATTCTGTGGTCAAATGGAAGATTCAGACTTTTTTAGCGTGACCCAGGATGCACCACGTGGAGGTAAAGTCTGCTTCACATCTCTTGCGCTAAAAAAAAGAAAAAAATTGTGCCCCCTCCCTCTTTTACAACTCCTTTCAATCTTCCGAATAACTGAATCTGTAGAATAATGTAGGCGATTGCAGTACCACTCTTGATATGTTCGAGCAGTAGCTCGATACACTCCTCTATACATTATAGATACTAACTCGACTCTGGTTGAATTGGCACTGATTAGAATAAAAGAATCCACGAAGTAGTAGCAAAATTTTTTGTTTATTGTTTACATTTGATAACTCCTGTTGGTAAACGATCAACGGAATAATTACACCAAGGTGCGCCAAGAATGTTTGAATCTTCAAATTTGACCACAAAACGCGTTTTTGTGGTATTTTTCGAGTAAAATTACAGGAAATTACATGAATGACGAGGTATCTGAAAACAACTCATCAAGATGAACAAGTTTCATTAGGGTAAAAAATGGGATTGCTATTTTCTAAAAAGCGCTGTGTGCTTGCAGCTAGCAAGCATGAGCTTGAAAGCTCAAAATAATGAATGTATCAAATGTCCCTCTCGAAACCCTACAATCTTTGTATCGAACATTTTTTTGTTTCTTGCGCGCCTTAGAAGATATTTGGCCGCATTTTTTCAAATGGGACACCCTGTATAACTTATATCGGCTGTAAAAATAAGGGGCAGAAAATATAAAGGTCAGAAACTGTAAGGGTGAAAAAAAGCGGATAACAATCGTTTTGTATGAAAATTTGGGAATTTAAACTATGAAAAATCTCATTTATTATTTCATCAATTTTACATCACAGGGGGTGAAAACATGATTTTGTGTTTTTTTATATTTATTAAGGTGATAGATGACGAAAAATTTTCCACAAATTTATATCGTTTTATTGAATCAAACATCTTAAAAAAAAGAAAAAAATTCCAAGCTTGTAATTGTAAAGAACGCTATGTAAGCGGTATTGCCGACCAAGCTAATCCTCCCTTATACAAATATATCAAGAATGAGATTATTGAACAGCTTAAACGCTGAACCAAACGTTCTTCAAAATGCATCGTTGCATGCACGGGATTGCATTTGAATTTGCTGAAGTCATTGTGAAATATGTTATGGAAGTATTTTCAAACATTAAAATCAGGCCCGGTCGCGCGCTTCGCTCGCTCCCTCTGGGGTATGACCGGTAGGGGTTGGTGGAATTGGGTGTGACCCATCACGGGTTAATTTCCCGACCATTTGTTTTTTCTTTCATTAATTTTTTTATTATGTATTTATTCAATCTTTTTCTCACATTTCTCCGAGGAAATACCCATAGAAGGAAAGTTTCTTCGCAGATTTAATAAACACTGGGGTCATGCCACAGTGAATGCAGCGCACGCTATACGCAACGCTAGTCAATGTCAGAAATATTCGGAAAACAGTTGGATAATTATTGCATGCGTTGCATGCGTTTAGCGTTGCATCCATTGTGGCATTACCCTTAGGATGATTTCGCAAAGAACGCATTTGCAATGTAAGTTAACTCAAACTTCAATCAAGTTTGAGTTAAACCCACTTTACTTGACCCACTTCAAAATTGTCTCAACTCCGAAGCTGATCCACTTAAAAATTTGCAACTTCAAAGTTAACCCACTCTAAAATTTTTCAACTTTCCCTTTTTTTTAATTGCAAAATTCTAAAATTTTATTTAAAAAACTCAACAACCACTGAGGCGATTTCGCTCAAAATCCAATGAGAATCAAGTTATGTGAAGACGCATAGATTACACAAAATTAATTCAAATCCCATTGTTACCTTAGGTAAAATGGTCGAATTTCTATGAAATTAACACTTTTTGCCATTTTTTTATAAGTTTTGTGCGGATAAATAAAAAACCGCTGAGTCAATTGTTTTCATAAATTAGTGAGTTCTAAGTCACATGAACACGCATCGTTTAAAGGAAGAAAAAAATCAATCGCTTCATTCGTTCAAGAGATATCGTTGGACAAAATTTTGGTCACATACGTACACACACACACATACACACATACACACACACACACACACACACACACACACACACACACACACATACATACAGACATGTCTCCAAAAACGTTTCAGGATGATTCGAGAGGCCGAGAAATGTGGAGAAATCATGGAAATTCCAAATTCGATTTTCGGGGTCATTACAATAACTTCCTCCCTTCGGGTCGGGAAGTTGATAAATCATGTATCAATAGTTGTAGTATTGAATTGTAGAAGACAAAAACATTCTTCCCGTATGGTGAGTTTCACTTCATTGAAATACATCCAGAATAGTATTACGATGGATTTTGAATTCCTTAAACGATTCTCGTTGAGGACTGATTCGAATGAAGTCTATAAGGATTTCACTGCGTAGTAGACAAACGTTTTGCCCTTTTGCGGCCTCCTGAACATTATTCAAACTAACGAAACTGAATCTATAGTAAGGCTAGTAAGGCTAAAGTGCATACTTGTCATATGCGATTTGAGACTGACACAACCACCTCCAATAACTTGAGGGAGTCTTGGAGCCTTCGACCATATCTGTAACTACATCATTATAATTTTCTTTTCCCAGCACCTTATTCCTTCTTGCAGAAAAAAAGTAAAAGCAACACATATTAGCAGCTACTAATGTCGTTTTGTACATCTCAAAGCGAAGGATTTATCAACATTCACGACCCCATCGTATACTCCATGTACCTGCCTCTAAGTTTGATTTGACTGGCGTGTGTATAGGATTCAAGTGGTTTCGAGGGGAAGGCCTCAAATTTGAGGTTGGGTAGGAGGAAACTCTTGGGTAGATTGTTACACGTATCTCATCCAGCATGCTGGAAGGAATCGAGAGTTAGGTCTCTCGCGTGTCCAGCCGTCCATCAGTTTGTACGTTAACTGCGAAGCGTATCTACGTTGGAATCCAGAGAGGGGAAATTTTTTGTGGGCTCGCAGCGGGGTGCCCTCCAATACCATCTTTCAGCAAGACGTTGGCGAGGGACCCCAGCTGACCTCACGGGTCTCTTTTGCCTTTAACCAATAATGAGCTCCACCTAATAGTGGCTTATTATCTCCCGTACCGAGTTTGTTGAACTGAAGAGCAATGATAATCGACATATATTGATTTAAGAATGGATATATCAATGTGACATTTGAAAAACACGACAGTTTGGCAGATTGTCCACCTATTTCTGGTATTTCTGCTGAGAAATTAATTTTCGAAACAATTTAAGTTTGTATTTATTTAACAAGCTTTCCTGCATTCTTGTTACAGCGGTGCAAAGGGGCAGGGTACCACCTTCACAGCCCTCGATGCCAGGGCTACCAGGACAATTTACCCTTGCGAATGGTGACGCCGTAGCCTGTGCAAGTTTAAATGGCCACTCATATCTCTCCTCTTATATAAGTCTTCTGCTACGAGCTGAGCCCTATCCGACAACGAGATATGGACAGTGTATGCAACCAAATAACATAATGGGTATTGACAACATATGCGAACTAGCAGCTAGACTGCTGTTCTCCGCCGTAGAATGGGCAAGGGGTATACCTTTTTTTCCGGATCTCACAGTGACTGACCAAGTGGCATTACTCCGGTTAGTCTGGAGTGAATTATTTGTCCTGAATGCAAGCCAGTGCTCAATGCCCCTACATGTTGCACCGTTACTCGCTGCGGCTGGTCTTCATGCATCACCAATGGCAGCTGATCGAGTTGTTGCTTTTATGGATCACATAAGGATCTTTCAGGAACAGGTGGAGAAACTAAAAGCTCTTCATGTGGATTCCGCTGAGTACAGTTGCCTAAAAGCAATTGTCCTCTTCACGACTGGTAAGGTTACAATTCATCATTTTGAGAATGCAGCTCATAGATACTTTGATACCTGTTCACTGAACTTTTGCTATGGTCAATTTGAAAAGTGATAGAAGATAATCTAATAGTGATTTTCTCTTAATCTAGAGATCATTGGATTGAATTAAGGGTAGCATTCCTGCATGAGTTTCATCCATATTATTATCCATTGATTACTGAACGCACATGTTGTACAAATCGGACTGTATACCACTTAGCATCCTTGGCAAATACGCAATTTGAAAGACTAGTGAGCATGCAGAGAGTCTCTGCGATATTGACAGCTTGACTTGACTATACTGGATTACATGGTATACACGTCTCTCAAGTGAAGCCTCCTCTCTCAATCTCTCCACCCATCTCTCCGCCTTGTTCATCTAACGGGGTTGACGTGATTCTAGAATCCCAACCACTGCAAACGAGGAACCGTACGGTAGCTATGGAAATGGTGTAGAGAGATCCACGCAAAACAATGTGATGTGGCCCCCGTGTTAGATGCCAGTTGTAGACAATACTCTCGCCCTCTATCTATCCATCCATCTATCCATCTCCCTTACTGGGAGCTGGAGGGTCTCTGGTTCGATGACAGTAGTGTCCTATGCCCGAGCAATGGTCTCTCTCAAATGCGTCTCACCAAGCTTGTATCAATGGTGGTCGATCTCACAACCTCCGCCCGTCTAGTTATATGATATTTAATCACCAACATCAAGTAGCTTCTATTAAATGAGTAATCGCTAACCGTTTTTTCTTCTACCGTTGAGAATGTTTCATGTAGTGAAGTTTTCCTGACTATTTAAAGAAGAGCTGTCAATTCTACGAAACTGAAAGTTGTGGAAATTATGAACCTCCATGTAAACATGTTTTCGTCTTAGCGATTGAGCTAGAACAAACACTCATCATTTCAATCATTACGATTACATATTTTTAGATTAGGGGAGGCCAGGGCAAAGTAGGGTGGCCAGAGCAAATCGGGGAAGAACTCTGGAAATTCTTTCAATCCTTTCAAACACGTGATGAGCCGCCATATTGGGTATTTTTTATTGAAACTGAGTTCTCACAATGATCTAGTCTTGGATAGTCAGATAAATTTGCGAAACTCATCCCCCGATGGTCGGTAACGACAGAAAAAAAAAAAGAAAAGAATGGAATCTCACTTGCTGTGCATACTCTCTGTTTACTGATATAAACGTCATTTTACTACTGGAGCAAGAGAATAAAAACAATCAATTAGAAGTATCAGGATATCACTTCGTAAAATTGAGATGAACAAGACAAATCTAAAGAATAAATTCGGCAATTTAGATTTCTGGAAAAAAGAATGAAATTGAGGGAAAAAATGGGCATTAATAATGTCATTTGTTCTTCCAATTATCTTCGTGACAGGTGGACTTAAGCAATCATGCTAGAAGATACTTTTTTAGGGAATTAAATTTCCTATAAGAAATGTTATTTGACATTTTCATCTACAATTGATAATTTGCAAGTTAAATCGATGAAATCCCCAAAAAACTCTCAATGACTATCGATTTCACCGGAAAAAGACATAAAGTCATCTTTTATCCGAAATTTAATCCTCTACAATAAAAGTCATGTGATATTTTTCAATAGGGCTGCTTGTTATCGTGATATTTGAAAAAACAAAATTAATTTGACGAATAACGAATATTTGAAAACATGTATAGAAAATCGTTACAATGTGCTCTTCTGTTAATGAACATGAAATTAAAGAAAAAGAATTTTCTTCTGCGTACTCTATCATCCCTCAAATTAAAAAATTGATTCATCGGGACTTTCCCTACCGATTTTAAAGTTTTTCTGTCGTTTTTTTGAAGATTCGAAGGTGAAAAATGAAGAAACAACATTTATAATTATTTTAAAGTGTTTGGACAGTACCCCACTGTGCCTCCAAGTGTAGTACGTTGGAGACGCGAGTTGATAATTTTAGAATGTGAATAGTGATTGCTAAAAAGCAATATAAGTATGATAGAAGCTGTGATAGCCGCTACTTTGCCTTAGCTACCCCGCTTTGCCCCGGACTCCCCTATATTATAGCATGATTATATTTTAACATGATTGAAATCTTAAACTTAGTGCCATCGAAGACATTTTACATTGCTGAAATTGAAGAGACTTCACAGTAGTTGCATTCTCTATGCAAATAATCTTCACGAAAAAGATACAAGCTTTAGAACTACTGATGTCTCTCGTCACCAGTTGTATTTTCTCGTATTTCCTTCTATAGTCTTATACTAAACTTAGGTTTTGGTACGGTACCAGATCCTTTCGATAGTTTGACTCCGCAACTTATCATGGTTTGCCTTCCACCCGAGACTGGGAAACATATTAGTATAGTGGGTCATAATCAGAGCATCTGCGATAAGTGCTTTAGCTGTGTAGCTTCAACTGTACCCTATACGGATCTCATTCAATGTGCTTTCTCCATGCACATATCTTTAGAAGCTGTCTGAATCATGCGCTATAGCTCCCTTTTGCAACTTATTTTTCTGCTATGAATGTTTTGTACAACCTTCAAATTTGACCCCTTCGAGTTATTTAGTTGGATAATTCCACGGATTTGGAAGCTCCACGGCAACTGTGTGTATATACAATACCTTCCCATACAGAGTCAAACACAACGGCCGAACATCGGACCGAAATCGCCTCCGATATGAGCGATAATCGGCGGCGGGATTTAGTCGATGATCTGTCTAACCAAGGAGTGTCGTCTCCTGTCATTAACGCCGCCAATGACGGTTCAATATCCGCATTCATTCTCGGTCGAATATCGCTTGAACAAATTCATCAATTATTTATACCTATTTGTTTAAATCATTTCCAATTGTTCTATTACTTTTTGCATCAAATTCAATGAACGTATGAAAAAAACCAGGCAAGGCCGTTCGCTACTACCGATAAGCACATATTAGGGTCTCTAATTTATTGAAAACAATTTTAAAAAATATCATTGTTATTTATGGCTAATTATCGGTTCTGAATGTTGAAACATTTGAAAAATCTACCGTTACAGGAAACATCTTATGGCGGTACATGTTTTTGGGGTACACGAATACGACGTGGTATTACACTCTAAAAAAAAGTTACTACTCACTAGTACTGAATTCTACTTGGGAGAAGTTTTCTTATGAAAAGTTGGGAAACTACTTGTCCCAAGTACTTTTCATGTCCTAGGGTGAAGTACAATAAATTCTAAGCAAGTAGGAAAAGTACTAGGAGGAAGTACTTTTATTACTTCCTGTCAGTATTTTTCTTACTTCTCACAAGTACCTTTGATGCTTGGAGCAAGTAATTTTTCTACTTCTCGCGAGTACTTTTATGACTTGATTCCAGTACTTTTGGTTGGTTATTTTGTTGAGGAATTTCATATAATTAATTATCATTCTCATTATCATTATCATTCTCAGATGACAATTAACAAATTTCATCAAGGGGAGGTTACGATGAGTTTCAAAATCGCGAGATATTGCAGTAAGATTTATTACACATTGATGATCGATTATTTATATATGTTGAAAGACGAAGAATAAGTGGGGAAAAAAACGATTATTTCTTGTTGATTTGCCCCCAAGACCTTGAAAATGAAGAAAAATAGCACAGTGTACTCAATTTTTGACCTACGGACGTATTTTTTCTTCAAAATTTTTAAACGGATGTGTAGAATAACAATTACGAGATAATTTTTTTGAATTCGACTTCTAAATAGGCAATTTTATTCTTTGTCGCATAACGAAATTGCAATTTTTATACAAGATAGCTCAAAAGATTAATACTTCAATTTTTTTTTCAATATAAAATATAACAATTATTTTGAGGATCATTTTACTGGCTATTTCGCATGAATATTACATTTTTTGTTATTAAAAAAAGGACTATTTGGAAATTAAATTTGGAAAAATTAATTGGTAATTGTTATTCTACACATCTTTTGAAAAATTTTGAAAAAAAAATCTCTGTAGCTCGAGAATTTATTACATTGGACTACATTTCAATTTTCAAGCGTTTGAGGGGCAAATGAACAATAAACAATAATTTTATTTGCATTAATTCTTCGTTTTTCAGCGATCTCTAGTGTATGATAAATTTTACTGTAATATTCCGCGAAAATCCATTAGTACTGGATTTGAGTGCTATTACTACTTGTCTCGAGTATTTTTTCTACTTTTGAGAAGTACAGCTCGGTACTCAGTACACGTACTTTTAGTACTGATGATGAGTACAGTTGGTACTTGTCACCAGTACCAATTGTACTTGGAGCATAAAACTTGTATTCAGTCGATTTTCGACTTGAACCAAGTAAAAAAATTACCTTTTCTCCAGAAACCCCTCGGTACTGAATACAAGTAGTTTTCCTACTTATCAGAAGTAATCTTTTTTTAGAGTGTACCCACCATTCACTGTATCTATCAATACATTTATCAACAATTAATTGAGTAATAACTCTCTCGAATTCATGGGTCACGAATTAATTGATTTATTTGTAATATATGACAATAATAATAAGTACTATATCTAACTACAACTAACTATAATTAGTTTGATGAGATAATTGTCAACATGTTTCTGAATTTTTCAAATTAAAGAAAAAGTACGATGATAAGTTGATATTGAATTCAAAAATAGCCTGCAAGTATTACGTCTGTTGCCATTAAAGATCAATCCTTAGCCGATAATAGACCCACCGATGTTTGGCGAATGGATATTGGACCGATATTGAGCCTTTAATTAAGATTCTTTTTTTAATTGAAAAAAATTCAGCATTGGTTTTAGAAAATATTTGTTCTTAAAAACAAGCCCCAAATTCATTAGTTTTTATGATCTCACCAAGGATAAACTTTAAGAATTGGAGTTTCTAAAATATATAAACTAGTTTCTAAAGCTAACCCACTTTTTTTCTCTGTGTGGTGTAATGGTATGGGGTTTTCGTAGATCAAATGATTGTGGAACAATAAATTATGGTTTCC